TAGCAACAACCACATTTTATGTACATATTTATGTAGACTTCAGATAATTTGTTTTGACTTACAGTACAGTACTTGTTATGCATGCAGGTCCAAAGCCTTGGTAACAGCTTGCATTTCTATTGCACTTTTCAGACCATCTAGACCTCAACTATTAGTTATTTAGTAGTTTAGACTTCAGTGGAGGTTTAAATAAAAAAATTGAAAGAGATTAAAGAGCTAAAAAATATGAATCTATTTCGATTTCACTGGGAAATGTTCTTCCAGATGTGTTAAACACCTTGTCGTGCTTATGTGTCCTTCTCTTCTGCAACTAGGGAAGAGCATTGAAAGTGTTGGGAAAATACTGTATAACTTCAAACAATTAAGAATGGAACCGTTTTTGTGTGTTATAAGACATTCACTTGTTTTTCATAGAACCAATACCACATATGAATCCTGCAAATATGCTAGAGTACATATGCCATTATTACTGTATATGACTTTATCAGTAAAATAAAGCAAATACACTAATAAAATGTATTAAGCAAGACACTGCAGGTGTTCAGTTAACTTTAAATAACTTTGCCTTTCTACAAAAATGTGCCTGGTTGCTTAAAACACCTTGTACACTTTAATTTCTTTTACCGATAGATATACAACCCCTATACAAACCCTGGAATACAGTATTTTACCAAAGGAAATACAGTAAATACTGTACATACAGAAACAGCAAAAAGGTTAGCAATATCAATGGAGAGAGGTTCAGTGACATAATCTACCAGTTTACAAGGGGAAAAAATATCTTAAAGTGGTTCACAAAAAACACTGGCTCATATCATTACTGATATGACATTTAAAAGAGCAGGCAGTCTTAAAATTGGGGAAAAAATAAGAACTAAAAAAAAAACTCTTCCAGAGGCTCATTAGGAGAGTGATATGTCTTACTGCAGTATTTCGAAGGGGTTGTAACCAGTTGCAAACTGTTGTGTGTCTAATATACAGTACCAACGTACTCTGCATCATTTGACCTGCTGTCAGTAGTTTAGGAACTACATTTGATACTAATGGCCTTCTGATCATCAACAGTCAGCAGCGTTGCCGATTTGAGCGAATACTGAAGGTGCTGGGACTTTTTCTTCACATTTCATGCTAATCAGCTTACACACACTATTTCATGGATTCTGAAATCTTTCTTGTTAAATCCTGGAATTGCATACAACAGAGGACACAGCAATTTTCAAAGGGCTGCAGAAGTACTTTATTGTTCCACTGATAGTAAAGACCTTCAGTAAAAGCAGAAACGTATCTTGAAATAAAATGGGCCAGCGTCTGGCAGCTACCACCTCTTCCTTCACTTGGTTTGGGACCAATCCATTTACTCATAATGTATTCTAGAAATAAACTTATTAATATTGATTTTAAACTCCTAAATATGGTCAGTTTCATTATATGGTTATGAAGCTTGATTTTGTATGAGTCCATATTTTCCCCATAAGAAATCAATTAATGGTGGATGTCGTCTTAAAATGTGTCATATAGGACTTTAACAGTGATTTCTTCTATTTTTGTTTATCACCAGTTATTTTTCAAGGTCTGCTGAATTTGTGTAGCACCAAAAGACAAAGCAAAAGACAAAGCTGAAAAGGAATTTATGTTACTTTGGTCAAGAAAAATCCACCACTATAACAAGATTCAAAATGAATGAGGTACTGTACAGAACTGCTGGATAGCATGCATGTACTGTACAGTATGAAGCGATACAAAACTTGCTTTGAGAAATATCTGCAAAACAGCAACTTCAGAAATGTAGTACAAATAACATTAATTGCGACAAGAAATCTTTCCCAGCTTCGTCTCCATCTGGCACTACACGTAAGCCAGTATTCCAACACAGGTGGAAGTACCAGGTTTCTCAGTCCTTGCTGTAGCAATAGCTTGCCTTACCTGACTCCAATTAAATAAAGATGTATTTGCCTTTCAAAGACTTTTCTCCTTTTCCTCCCCATTGGAATAATTGATGGAACCCTCAGGCCTATGATGAATGGATCTCTAACTGGAAGATGAATAGGTAGATGAATGCACTGCCCTTAGAGTCCTGGAAGTGCTGACACGGTGACAAATATACTGACCATAGCACCAACCAGCCTAAATCAGCAAGAGAAGGTTCCTGTTTGACAGGTCCTTATTCTGTCAGTGTGGAATACTGCCCTACACTCCATTACCTACATACCTACATACTGCATTTTACTTATATGATAGTTAAACTGATTTCCTGAAGAGGAAGCTGCTAATTGAAGACTCATAGAATTTATGATTTATGAATTTAGAGGAGAGCAGGTGCAGTAAAATGGTATGAGCTTTAAGTAAGCAAGTATGCCTGGAGTGCAACATGGTTTATGAAGAGCAGTAAAGGAAGGGATGAACCTTTAACAATTTAACACAATGGTAGCTACAGTATAAACAAGCCTCCATGGCAGACAGTTCATGTTAAAATGGTATACTGTAGCTTACACAAAACAATTCTGGTGTACGTGTTAATGGGGAGTTATGTGTTTGATATCACAAAAAGTACTTAAAAACACAGACAAAAAGAGAATTACTAAAAAAAATGCAATCATAATCCATAGTAGTACAGCATATCAACCGTTCTTTTTTTATTTTTTAACGACTGCATGTCTATTTTTGCAGCAGGGTGAATTCAGAAACCACACTTTACCTGGGAGACTTGTGATCCACTCTGCATTTGTCTTTCATTTCCGCCTCTGAAGTTTCTATTACAAATCTCAAAGCTGCACGGTCTGACACTCTTGGCTCTTTTACAGGCATTTTCTTGTTCTTGGACCGATCAGAAATGCAAAAGTGTACCTACAGTATAGTGATGCACCTGAAGTTGAAATGTCAACCTACTGCATTTAAGATTCCAATTAAACAATTTTCATATTCATTACTTCACTGCATTAATTTATTAAAATTAATTAATTTCTCAAATGCATTCAAACTAACTGTAAAAAAACACCAGAATATGAACATATTTCATTGATCTAATGCACAATGAGCGAGTTTCTATATACAGCAATATAGCCCACAGCCTCAGTTGATAACAGTGTTTTGCTTCTCAGATTGAACCCAAAGGGATTGCAGTAGATGTTCTATTTAGATTATTCTTTTTAATCTCCTGTGAGATTAAAGTTTGTAATAACCCAGGCTCTCTAATGATGTCACTGAGGATATTTTTTTCTAAATTCCAGTTTTACTTTTGCAATTACCTTTGTTGTAACAGTAGAATCACCTAAATTCTGCAATCCTTACCCATTAGACCTCAAACGCATACAGAATTAGTGAGGGGAAAGACATATTTCCCTTAAGGATTTAGATTGAAACTACTACTTAACTGAAATATCATATTTGAAGTTGTTTAGGTCTGCAAACTGTGCACCTAAGCACAATAATGGTTTCTGAAGCATAACAGAAGACTGTTTATCCAAAGGTATTTTTGGATAGTAATTCTGTAGCACAAAGTAACCTGTAAGATGAGAAATGAAGCAGTTTTCTAAAACCTGAGATATAATGGATGTACAGTAAGAGGAATTTAATGTTGGCAAGCCGGTGTGAGAGGGCAGTAGGTTAAGACAAGATGGAGACCCTTGTCTCTGCACTTCATCCCCCAGAAGGACAATCGTTGGGGTATAAAAACCGGGAAGCAGAGGCTTTCAGGGATGGTCTTTAATCTGCTGTCTGGGAACAGAGAGCAGTTCCTCTGTTATGCAAGAGGGATGCAGAAACAGAGAGAAGCAGGCAAGCAAGCAGGCATTCGGCTGACTGACCTAGCGACAGTTTGGGACTTTCTGAGTTTTAAAGTTTCAGAAAAAGAGATTTTGTTTGGAGGCAGTAAGCAGCTTAGCTGCCCAGCTACTGCTAGAGAGGGAACTGAAGAAGTCTAATGAGAAGCTCAAAGAGGAGCTTAGGCTTTTGTTGGTTTGATTTTTACGTATTTTCCTTTTCACTGTAAATAAAAGAGCTTTTTCTCTTTACCTTTTGGCTGTTTTGTGAGGCTGTTTTGCCTAGACCTGCCTATTAACGATCCTGGTGTCACAGAGCTTTTTATTTGGGCTCTCCGGAGTCGCTGCCAAAGGCTGATTCAATAGGAATGATTTGGCTCTGTAAACTAAAGTTTAAAGTAAACTGAAGTTAAAAGACACTTGTGTTGCAAAACAGAAAAGTGCTACCACACTTATAAAAACGATTTGGGTTGATTATTTCCAATTCACTGTTTGCTGTACTTTTCTCTTGGGTTCACATGCAGCACTGATGATGTTAATGCTCATGCTCATTTTGGATTTACTACATGTTACTGTAATGTAAAAACATATTTTGATACACTGTATTTGCTGACACAGATTGTACTAAAACATGTCCATGTTTTTATCTTCAATCAAGACAAGAACAAAATACTATCGAGTTGATGTAAATGTACATCGGGTCATCTACAATCAACTAAAAAAAACTCATCAGTGACAAAATTGATCAATGTATAGATTTAATTGTTCTGCTGATGGATTGTTATGTACAAATGAGCTGGGTACTTAGTGGTTTGACAAGTTTTAATGCTAGATGATCTTTTGTATTGTATTGCATTTGTATTATATTGAATCTTTTGAACATTTTTAATTTTTCAGCTTCAGAAATGTGGAAGCAGTAAGAATGATGGAAGTGTTAAATATTTTGAAACTGTCAACGCGCGGGGGCGACGAAACAAAAAAACACAACACAGATGAAACCTTTCATGAGATCAATTACGAGGAAAGAAAGCAGCAATTGGGGGCTCAGCTGTCGTGAAGAGCACCCTAACCCCGTGACGGTGTTTGCAAAACAGTGGGAAATGGATCACATCCAGGTTAGGGTTCAGGCTATGGATATGGATCAGGATCATTTAAGCAGAAAGGTCTTGTGCAAATGTTTTAGTAAAGCACCACTTAAAAAAGATGTTCATAAAAATAGAAGAAACTTGTGACAACTCCTACCTGTGAGGTATTCAGGGTCAGGTACAGGGTCAGATAGCTCCTCTTGGCACTGGACCTCTGCAGGGACTGAAGCTACCACCATACCATCTGGAAGCTGCTGCTCAATGCCACGGGCAAAATTCTTCTGCCTGGAATCACACAAATCCCATGCATTATCGTTAATGTGTACAGTACAGTATATTATTCACTTAGAACAAGCTTCTGCTTAAAGCTGTCCAAACAGCAGGGATCACATTCAGATACCAACAAAATCTTCTATGACAGATCATTGAGAAAGAAAATAATCTGCGCTCAGATACTGTTGAGTCAGAAACTTTATTTGCACAGTGTCATTTTTCATAATGTTTTATAACCCCCTGTTCCTATGGTGCAGTATGAATTTCAGTTTTTGACACAGTCATTTGTTATGTTTTATACCTTTTCTGGTAATGATAGTCCTATGTCTGCCTGCTCTGCTCATTTTTAACAACACACTGATTAAACCTGTTACAAAGAGTTAGACCTGTGAAAGCAAAGGATGCTTCACGGTTTACCTTTTAGCCCAAGCAGTTAATCCAACACCTATAGTTAAAAAGATGAGTCTGAATACCAGACATTTACATAAACCGACATTTCTCTACAGAATTTCCCTTAACCTTCAACACCCCAAGTAAAGTATGAAAGCTACTTTCCATTTTTGTATTTAAGATCAACCCCCTGAACTAACTGTCAGTTAGGACTTAGGCCCCTATTTTAGGACTATAAAACCTTTCACAGAGTTCACAGAACACACAAAGACATTTTTAACATTTTAAATTAAGACTAGATATACTGTATATAAGAGAGTGTAAAAAAAACTATGCATCACAAATTCTAAGTTGAGTCAAAATGCATTTTTAAACGCAGTACCTGGTCTTTCTGGAAATAAAGATTTCCTGGATGTTCTGTACATTAGCTAGTAGTCAAATTATGGTGGATTGTTTGGCTGCCTTAGAGGCACAAGAAACGCAAAGTCAACCATCACAGGACAACCCATCCCTATTAAAAACGTGAAACTCAGATAAACAGAAAAATGACTTCTATAGTTTGAGGTAAGAAAATGACAGTAGTGTGACCATGACTCTTTTCTAAAAAAAAAAAAATCAAGAAAAAATAAAGTAGTTAACATTTTTGCTATCTGCATTCTTTCTGGAGCTTTTTGTCCAACCTTCACAAAATAATGAAATTACAGCAATTCAAACATAACACAGGTCTTTAAAAGTAGGCAACATTTTAATAGGATTATATTCAAAAGAAAGGAGATTCATTTGCAGTTATTATGAAGGCACATTCCTAAATATAGAACTGAGGTCTTAGAATCACAATAGCTTCCTCAAGCAGCAAAGAGTCTATAATTTCAGACAACTAAATTAGACTGCCCTGAAGAAACATAAGACCATATCTTACTACTACAGTACATTCAAACTATACCAATGAAACAAAAAAACAACAACAATAATGTTCTTACTTTCAATTTAATCCAGTAAGAAAAAAACAAACTCAACTACACATAAATTGTGTATACTATATTATCATCGAAGTGGGTCACAACAATGTGAGAACAGAAATGCCATTCCAAGAAGGGGTTTTAATAGCTGCTTCGATTTCAATTACTAGAGGAATATCCATGGAGGCCCATATCTCTTTTTTGAAATCAGATTTTCACTTATTTTTCTATCACGAGTGAAGAGAAGAAACAAATGGTAAGAGACAAGAGAAAATGGTATCTCACAGACTAAAGTCCTGAACACAAGAGCAAGCACTCAACCACACTGTCACAGTTGTTGCCCTAGCTGCAGTTTGACTGCAGTTACACCTGCCAGAGGAAGACATAATGTCTAAAGAATAATAGTTATTTCAGAGTCGTCACTCAGAAGGAGCAGTCAGGGGTTCAAAAGCACAGTCTCATCAGACACAATAAAGCACATTACCCACTTACAGTCCACTCAAAAGTCCTTTATTGTTGGGCACTCATAAAACGTGTATTGAGTATTAATGTTGTTATTATTATTCCTTGTATTTATATAGTGCTTTTCAATCCTATGTTTCCCAGAGTGCTTTACTTACAGTACATGTACAATATTAGAGGATTCAGACTCGTGTCACATGCAGCAGTTATTCTACCAGTTATTCTATTCTTACCAGTCCCCGCACAGGAATTATTACCAGTCCCCCCCCAGATCGTGCAGAGCAGTGAGAAATTGCTTTGCTGATTGAATCAAGGAAGAAATTCTTATACAAAACATATGAACTAGACTTTAAACTTAAAGGTTTAAAAACAAGAGGAGACCACTCGGCTAACCCACCTTTTTTGGTTTATATTTGCTAATTGACACAATAATCCATTTCTTAAAGTGATGGTATCCACTGTAACAACATGACTCGGAAAAGTTACAAGAAAGATGAAGCCATCTGGCCTTTGTTGCCTGCTTGGCAGTTAGCAGTTATTTGATCCAAGGATCTTATTCAGAAGTTTCTTGAAAGAAGCCAGGACTTAAACTTAAAATACTATGCTGTATTCCAAATGAAGTCTAACTACTACATTGTACAATTTTACCATGACATGCCATGATTGAAATTTACACAATATCCTTAACTATATAATATCGTTGTTTGCCTTTTTTATGGCAACAGAAACATCTACAGTATGTCTTTTTGATCAGTAGCTTCTCCAAGTGTAGTTTCCTCATCATAGTTAACATTTCTGCCACCTGCCCGTAACATTCTACACCTGTCTATGTTACATATCATTCAGCAGGTGTTTGCCCAGTCTTTAATTTTGCACAAATCTTTTCGATCTTCCTTTGTCACGTCTGGAGTGTTTTGTGTATTTTGGGAACAAGTCTGCAGAATTATTAACTAGACCAGAATCTAAATCACTGATATAAATTAAGAAGAACAGTAATGGTTTGCTGGGAGTTCTTCCAGAAACTTCTATGCACGGAGGAGTACCGTATATGTGTCTATTATCAGTAAACTCCCTGCTGTCGTGGACAACATCACATGGAGCTTCAGGAATGAATCTTATTTGAATACCTATATTTCAGTATTGCTTCTCAAAATATAGAGATGTACGAGAGCAATGGATTTTGTAAAGGAAAAGAACAATTTCAAGCTGTTCTCATAACCGTACCCATTTACCAGACCAAGTAAACCAGACCAGCACTTCAAATATTACTAGTATTTTTAAATATTGCATAGACGTAAATATAATTAAAGTATTTCCTGCTTTAGGCTCCTAAAATGTCTTTATTAGATGTTAAAATAACCTTAAAATCCATCTTTAATATTTTTAGGCTTTTGCTTTCTCATCGGGTATCCATAGAGAGAAGTAAGCCTGAGCCAATTTTATTATTAATTTTACAAACAAGGAAAATAATGTAATAACTTTGTCCATTTTAAATTTGCTCCACAAAGTTATCAATATTATACTTTGCTTGTTTTATGAAAAACCCCAAAACAGCAAACAACATATACTCTAAATGCAAGATATGGGATACTGTAAGTATTTAAGTATAGTCTGTCTAGAAATTACAGTTTTTATTTACCTTTATTTTTTTTTTCTCAAAGGAGCTGGAAGATTAATTCATTATAAAATTCTAAGAATATGCATTTCATAGTTTATAATAAAAGTAAAACCACTGCAATAGCTATTGTTATAGCTACATTATTTAGTTTGATATTCAAGTAATGTTATCCCTTGGTATAACATTATTGGTGTACCATTACAGAAACTATTGGTTTTCAACTACTGTTTTTCAACTTTATGCCAGCTGGAACTGGGATAAAACCACAGAGCTTTGTCTACCTTCCATGTTACCATGTTACCAAGAGGAGTGGTGTGCATCAAAGAATGTGAGACATTTTTCTTAGTCAACGCCAACGCACTTCAGAACACTAATATCACACCTACAATTTATTATTTTTGTTCTTTACACTGTAAGTTTAAAGAGATATACAGTATGCATAACATGCCAAGCCGTCCTTCTCAATATTTCATGCCATCTGTGTCCAGGAACAAAGGAGGATGTTTTTTTTTCTTGCATTCCAGCATTCACTTAAAAAAAAACAGACTTTTCATTTGTCTTTTTTGTTGAAGCATTCATTCTACTTTGCTTACAAAGACTCACTGCATACTGTACTAAGCACTCCGAAAAAAAACAACAACTGCAAGAAGAGCTGTGCTTTCATCCCTTGGCTCCGTGAATGTAAAGTATTGGGGGTCACAATAAGGTATCCATGGATCATAGCCTTGGATATACTGTACATGCATGGATGTACAGTACTGTATGTAGCAGGAGCCTCTCCAAAGAAAAGTTTATAATTTGAGCCTACGTTTCACTGAAATTACGGTATTGAAAAAAAAATATTTTAGGGCTTTTTTAGAAGTTCACTTGGCTGTTCTATTATTTTTTTTGCTGCAGTTACAGGTTAATCAGCTGTAAAAACAAACGGAAAGAAGAAACAGGATTAAACACCTTTCTATGATACACCTGCCCAAAAAGTTTGTGTTTTTTCTTTTTATTTTTCAACCTTTATTCGTTCCTTCTCATCCGGCACACTCTGATGCAGCTCCCCCACTCGAGCCAGTAGGGAAAAGAAAATGTCTTGCATGTTTTCCATATTGGTGGTTTGCTTTATAAAGGTTGTGCGATACTTTTGTGGTATGTTATGTGCCCTGAGGGGCATTAAAAATGCAAACAAATGCTATTGCTTCCAATGCACATTTGTTGCATTTTTAATGCCTCTCGCTATGTTTACATTTCTGTACTAGCTCTTTTGTAAAACAGCTGTTGAAAATGTCCTGCACTGCAAAATTTCCAGACAGCTGCTTCTGCACATTCCAGCTGGCTATTACAGTCACCTATGGTCACCTTTATGTTTGTGATCTCTGCTCTTTAGCACTGTGATTCCACTTCCTGGGACAGAAAGCTCACTCTAAACTATACTGCAAGAGAGCTTTTGCAAGAAAGTATAAGTATTCTGAAGAAGCATTGCGTGTATAATTCTTGCTCTGTGAATACACTTCATTATTCTGAATTAATGCCAATTTATATGTTTATAGTATATTTACAAGGCCTGAGAGCTATCCATCTGCATGGCTCTTGTC